CTATTCTTTTTCTGTTTCATGTGTCGGTGGGTTGGTTTAGGAATCCTGGATGGCCAGGCAGGCCCGAGTGGCTCAGGGGTTGAGCTTCGACCTATGAACCAGGAGGTCGCAGTTGCGGGCTCCATCCCCAGTAGGGGGCGTGCAGGAGGCAGCGGGTCAGTGATTCTCATCGTTGATGTTTCTCTCTCCCTCCCCCTTCTTCTCTGAAATCAATAAGAACGTATTTTAAAAATCATCATCACAGCTGCACAGGATTGGGTTAAGCATGACCCTTCGTTTCCGTGACACCTTACCTTGGGGGTGGGCAGGTAAGACCCTTGCCGCCTTCTGTGCTCCCTCCTCCCTTCTCTCCACCCGTTTCCTCTCCCTTTGCCCTTTATTTCTCCTCCCGTTCTTCCCTCCTCTCTTCCTCCTGCCTCCCTGTTTTCTCGCTCCCTTCTTCTTTCTTTTCCTCCTCTCTCCCTTCGTCCTCCCTTCCCTCGGAGGTTTTCATACTCGTGAAGCTGTAAAGGGCATTTGGAAATGCTTTGTTTTCTGCCTCCCCAACCAGAACATAAGCTGCGAGGGAAAGAGGGCCCCTTTTGCTCTTTACATGTGGCCTTCGTCTGTGACAGGGGCCGCTTTAAGCTCCTTTCAGGAGGGGCTCCTGCAGTCCTCACACACCTGTGCGGTGTGGTCTGTTATTATCTGTTGTTACTCGCCATTTAGCGGAGAAGGAAGTTGAGGCACAGAGGGGTTCAAGAGTGTGACCACCGTCACGGGGTCACTACTCGGCAAAGCAGGACGAGAACCCAGGACGAGAGTCCAGGCCTCCAACACCTGCCGGCTGAGCCAGGGCAGCAGGAGCACAGCCTGGTGGCACCAAACACCGAATGCAGAGGGTTTCAATAAGAGATGGACCCATTCCGCCAGCCGGTGTCGCTCAGGGGTTGAGCACTGACCTATGAACCAGGAGGTCACAGTTCAGTTCCCCATCAAGGCACGTGTGGGGGTTGTGGACTTGATCCCCAGTAGGGGGCGTCCCATCAGTGATTCTCATCACGGATGTTTCTGTCTCTCCCTCTCACTTCCTCTCTTGAAATCAATAAAAAAATATTTTTTTTAAAGAAAGAGATGGACTCATTCTAAAAACAAGAAACTAAGGAGGAGTTTTTTTCAAGACAATCGTGAAAATATTTTTGAATAATTTTTAGTGATATGAAAATATGTTTTGATACAACATATTACAGTTAAGTAAAAAAGCAAAATAAAGGTATTTATCATCCAGGTAACAGGTCTTTATACTTTGGTAGATGAATAGTTGACTGTCTCCCCAGCTAGAATGTGAGTTCCTGGAGGGCAGGGTCTGTGCCAGTCTGCTCACCACCATGTCCCCAGGGGTGAGCAGAGTACTCAGCAAGTAGCCCCCATTATTATGTGGTTTATTGGATGATGAATGAATGAGGTCTCTAGCACAGACTGACTCTTAACAAAGAAATTGAAAAGAAAAAGTCATTAACATATTTTGAAGGTTTTTTTAAGTGACAAATATTAACCATAATTAAAGCAAGAAAATGTGTTTCTCAAACTTTAAAACCAGGTCCCTCTGGCTAAGATTTTGTTAAATATCACCATATAGAATTATAGTTTATGTTATGGAATAAAATTTTTCTTCCTCTTCAGTTTTCCTAATATAAAATTAAGTCAATCTTGAACATGCTTTTTCAAAAAGCCTGCCCGAGCCCCTGGTGAGAGTCTGACATGTTACTCTGCAACCTACCGCTCCATACAGGGCAGATTTGGCAAACTGGCAATCCCAGTTTTGACCCTGGCTCACAGACCTGTTGTGGTTGGCCTCCTGGTGTCCCCCTCCCTTTTTAACTCTATTTTTGAAAAACTAACCTATACAAATAGTATAATGAATGCTGATTATCCAGATTGAACAATTCATGGCCAATCTTGTTTCATTGACACCTCCACCAACTCGCTGATTATCCAGATTGAACAATTCATGGCCAATCTTGACACCTCCACCAACTGTCCCTCCTACATTATGTTGAAGCAAATGCTAGACATGCCACTTCACCTGAAAAAATTTCAGCATGTCCCTCAAGATAAGGGCAGCAAACTCCCCCTGAGTTCTCACCACCAGGATTTCAGCATTGGCCGCTGCCTCCTCTGATAGAGCCAGCGCCACCCCTGTCTGCCTGGCTGCCTCCCCAGTGGACCTGGAGCCTCTTACCAGTGGGCTGAATGCTCACTGCCTGACAAGTGTAGACACTGGAGGATTAGGGCATAAATTATAATCTGAGTGAGTGGATGTGTGAATGCATGAATAAAGGAGTGAGCAAGTGGACAAAGGAGTGACGGAATGAGCAACAGAATGGATGAAAGAATCAGTGAGTGAATGAGCAAATAATTGAATGAAGGAGTAAGCAAATAAACCTGGGCCAGACCATGGACTCTGAACCAATCAAGTCCTTTAACCCCTCCATGCCTCAGTTTTCTCAAATGTAGAACAGGGATCATGAGTTGTCATGATGAATGACTTAGAATGTATCCATTGTTTAGGACTATGCCTCGCCTAGCGAAGTGAGCCCTCTGCATCGTGTGAAATAAACACACAGCAGGCGCACGGAGAACCATCGCCTGGCCCCTCGCAGCAGGGACGGCGGCCCTGGACCTACCGAGGAGCTGGACCTCGTCGGTGATGCCGTACACATCGATGAGCGCCCAGAGCGGGCCGCCCACGGCCACACCGCAGTGGAAGAGCACGGGCTCGCCGTCGTTGACGCTGTAGAAGACGCGGCCGTGGCGGTCCAC